TGAGTGCAGTAATTCCGTCTGCTCCCTGCCAGGCAGCCCCCACCCTGCACTGTCTCTTCCAGCATTTCTCCCCAAATCAGCATTGATTCTTCTCTTTTTGGGCAGCTAAATCAAACTTTCATATGAGATTGTTCCCAAAGCCAGAAATTCAAATCCAGACCACTGTTTAGGCAAAGCAGTGAAATGATTCTGGATTTGCACTCTTGTTACAGAATTAAGAATCTGGGACATGTTTAATAGATAACTGTATTATAATTTAAATTATATGTTAGCTAGTAATATCCTGTTTGTAGTTCTGAATATATGGCCTAACACTTGCATTTCTGAGGAGATCAAGTTAATGGAAGACTGATGGAAAATTTTTCTTTCCACCTCCTGCCATCTAATCAAAATATACCAATAATCAACACAATCTCTATTATTTTGTTTTGTTATGTTTCATTACTAGCCAGCATCAGTGTGTTATTATATCAGGTGCTAAAAGCCTGCTGAGGATATTAACACCATATCTTTTCTTTTTTAATATAGTGTTATTCATTGTGATGTTCTGTAAGGAAAAAAAAGCTACAATTTTCCTTTTAGAATTCACTCAAGAACTTCCACAGGGGAATGGTCCAGTACAATGATAATCTGGCATCTTCTGGCATCCTGTCCGTGGACAGGGCTGTAAGCACAGCCTTGTGGAAGTCAAACTACTGGTGCACCTAAAGAGAATTATTCCAAAATGGCACAAGATTTATGAGCTGAACCTTCAGTATTCAGAGTTTAGCATAACAATTTCCTGGGTCATTTCCACCAGAACAAAATGGCTGAGAAATACAACAAATCAGTCACCAGAAAGGAACCCTACATTTCTACAATTTAGCAATAATGTGTTATTGTTACAGTAAAGACAGATCTAATTACATTCTGTTATTGGTTATTAGCAATTTGATACCACAGAAGCCAGCCAAGAACAGGGCCTCAGTGTACTAAGACTCTGTGGGAATGCTGATTTGTAAAAGAAGTTTTTAAACATTAAAAACATTAATGTTAATTTTAAAGGGATGGGAAAATATATAAGTAGAGAAAAGGATGCAATAGTAGCAAATGGCAGGTTGGTTGTGAAAGAGAAAGTTTTGGAGAGAAGAAGCCGGATGGAGATTAAAGATGAAGTGAGGCTGAGAGGTTGGAAGAAGTGGTTAGGAATGACAGAAATTAAGGGAAGCTGATGAGATATTAGAAGAATAGGAAAGTAGGAGCAAACAGCCACTCACTCAGGAGGACTACAGGGAAGTTGTGATGTTAGGTAGGGAGATAATTAGAAGGGCCAAAGACCAACTAAAATATAATCAGACTACTGCCATAAAAAAACAATAAAAATGTTTCTATAAATGCTATTTATATATATCCTTAGCTATTCAAAATGAAAGGAGGGCTAAGGACAATCTCTGTCCTTTATTGGATGCAGGGGGAAATATAGTGACTAATGCTGAGGAAAAGGCTGAGGTACTGAATGCCTTCTTTGCCTTGGTCTTTAATAGTAAGACCAGTTGTTCTCCAGGTACCCAGCCCCCTGAGCTAGAATACAGGTGGAGGAACATAGTGAAGCCCCCATAATCCAAGGGGAACTTGTTTGTGAACTGCTGCACCACTTAGACACACAGAAGTCTATGGGGATCCACCCAAGAGTACTGAAGGAGTTGGTGGATATGATCACCAAGTGACTTCCAGTCATTTGCCAGCATTTCTGGCTAACTGGGGAGAACTCAGCTGACTGGAAGTTAGCTAAAGTGACGCCCATCTACAATAAGGGCTGGAAGGCGTCCAGGGAACTACAGGCCTGTCCACCTCGTCTGCAAGCCAGGGAAGGTTATGGAGCAGATAATCCTGAGTGCCATCACACAACATGTACAGGACAGCCAGGTGATCAGGCCCAGTCAGCATGGGTTCATGAAAGGCAGGTCCTGCTTGACTAACCTAATCTTCTTCTATGACAAGGTGAACTGCTTAATGGATGAGGGAAAGGCTGTGCATGTTGGCTACTTGGACTTTAATAAAGCCTTTGACATAGCTTCCTACAGCATTCTCCTGGAGAAACTGGCTGCTCAGGGCTTAGTTGGGTGTGCTCTTTGCTGAGTGAAAAGCTGGCTTGATGGCTGGGTCCAAAGTATGGTTGTGAATAGAATTCTATCCAGTTGGTGGCCTTTCACAAGTGGTGTTCCCCAGCAATTAGTATTGGAGGCAGTGCTGTTTAATGTCTTTGTCAATGATCCAGACAAGGAGATCAAGGGCACCCTCAGTAAATTTGCAGACGACACCAAACTGGGTGGGAGCATTGATCAGCCTGAGGGTAGGAAGGCTATACAGAGGTATCGGGACAGGCTGGATGAATGGGCCAAGCCCAATAGGTTCAACAAGCTGAAGTGTCAGGTTGTGCACTTGGGCCACAACCCCACCTGACATTACAAGCTTGGGGAAGAGTGGCTGGAAAGCTGCCTGGCAGAAAAGGACCTGGAGGTGTTGGTGGACAGCTGGCTGAACATGAGCCAGCAGTGTGCCCAGGTGGCCAAGAAGGCCAACATCATCCTGGCTTGTATCAGAAATAGTGTGGCCTGCAGGAGTAGGCAGTGATCATTGTCCTGTACTCGGCACTGGTGAGGCCACATCTTGAACACTGTGTTCAGTTTTGGGCCCCTCAATACAAGAAAGACATTGAGGTGGTGGAGCGGGTCCAAAGAAGAGCAACTAAGCTGGTGAAGGGTGTAGAGCAGAAGTCTGATGAGAAGCAACTGAGGGAACTGGGTTTGTTTAGCCTAGAGAAATGGAGGGTCAGAGGGGAAAGCCAACCAGATCCTGGGCTGCA